GCACACTACCACTGAGCACTACCCTTCCTCTGAAAGATCTCGTTTGATATGAACATCTCAATTGCAAGTTTCTTTTGGGAGCTGATCATTGGTCTGCTTCCTGCTGCCTGGCCTCAGGCTACTCAGCTCGGCTGGCAGAGCAGAGGGGAGAGAAGGAGCCGTGGGGTCGGCGGCTGTCTGAGGGGTGGCTGGTCCAGTCTGTGCTGGGGCCAAACACGGGCGCAGCTAGTGCACAAGTGCACTGGTTTCAGCCAAATTCCAGGGTTGAAAACAGAAGTTGGTGGCCCAAGCGAGTGCCTGGCTGGCAGGGTCTCAGTACAGCTAGGCTGTGGGAGTCCGGGGTGGGTGGTGGTGGTCCTGCAAGTTCAGGGCAAAAAATTGGGGTAGTGTTTCTTATCACAGGGCCACGGCCAAGCTACCGACACTGTTGAACAGTCAGAAATGGTCTGCTCCCCTGGGATGGAAGTCTTGTGAACTCAGTTCCACTGGGACAGAACCTGTTGCAAAAAAACCCTCCTGGGGCAAAAGTAAGTTCTCCCAGTCTATGGAGCGCAGGAGTGTGGCCTCAGCTTATTCAGAGACATGGAGGCCCTTCGCAGAGAGAAAGGTGAGGATTTGGTGAATAGATGCTGGTTGCCCTGCTGTTCCTGAGACAGGAAACTGTACAGAACTTCCTGCTCAGTTTAAAATGCAGCTTCATTTAAAAAAAAACAAAACAGAACAGACCTGTTTATACCACATGATAAAAAGTCAATATAAACAAGAACATTAAAAAAATTCTTTTATATTAGTAGGCCCAAAGCTACAAGATTCTATGAATGTTTAAATAAAACCACATATTATATCACAAATAAAATATACATACACTTGGTATGGGAATGACCTGCCTCTGGTCACCCTGGAGAAAAAGAAAAAAAAAATCATTGTCAGGTTTAAAGAGAAGTAGATCATATACTCAAAAGAAACTTCAAAACACTCCTGAGTACAGCAGTCATGTGATTTCCCGTTCTCTGCACCTTGGTGGTATTGAATGAACACCCAACATATTCCACAGTCAGAGCACTGGGCTCACTCTGCCTCCCAAGGACCCCCCCTTCACTGACATACCAGGCCGGGATCCTGAGGCTCATAAATCATCTTTTTTATTTAAATAGTGCCTCCTTTACTCCCAGGAATTTAATCTTTTATTGAAACATGAAAATGATAACCCATACTATACTTCAATCCATGAATTCCTCTAATGACCGGCCTGATTCTTCTTTTAAGTAAGTTTTTCTCTGAGAAACTAAATATGCAGGGAAAGGAAGACAGTGTTACCGGATTACAAGGAACCCCCTGGCCACCTCTGGTCCTCTTTCCAGGACAAGACTGGACAGAGGGGACAGGCAAGGTGCAAGGAGTTCCCTCTGAAGCCAGAGACATGGGACAGCTTTCCCATTAAGGGGAATAAAGCCTGTATTTATAGGGAGTGCTAAGAAAATTCAGGCCCCAAGAAAGGGCCTCAACCATTCCTCATCCCCAGAATGCCAGACATTCCAAACCTGATGGAAACACTTCATTTTAGCATCATTAAGAAATGCTAATAAAAGAACAAATGTATCTCCATTGAGAATTTCCAGTTTCTGTGCTTCTTTTTCAGATGGTGTATGGGAGGTAATGAATCGCACGGTCATAGTCTCTGATAAGACGTACAGTTTCACGTCTCCCATGTCGAAGGATCTGTGAAAGTGTATCCATCTCCACTGCGGGGGTCACTGGAGACAGGGGTCTCGTGGGAAGAAGCCAAACCTGACTGTCAACAGTGGCAGGTGGCTGGCACCTTTCTAAGCTCTGTTCTGCCTCTAAGAACTTTTCAGCAACTTCTTTTTTTAAAAAAACTTTATTAATGGAGGTACTGAGGATTGAACCCAGAGAACCTCACACATGCTAAACACGCGCTCTACCACCGAGCTATTACCCTCCCTGCAGCAACTTCTTGATGATCTCCAGCCCCTGGTCATCACCTCTGCAGCATAACAACTACTGTTTCCTCCTGAGATGATCCTGAGGGCTCTTTCCTTCCTCACGACACCTGGGGCTTGTCTTAAGGATGCAGAAACTGCCTTCGGCCACGATTCAAGGCAGAGCTGTGCTGCTCTCCAGCACAATGGCACAATCAAACCAAATCTCAGTTTTCAAGAATTTATGCAGAGAAGTTCATTTCAGAAGCTCTTAAACAATGTTGTTCCCAACATCTGGAGCTTGATGGGGGAAGAGTTTACACAGAAGCTCACAAGCCCGTTGGGTCACTGTAGAGCAGGGCTCTCAA